CAGAGGCGCAGTTCATGAGTTTCTGGGTAGTTCTCTGCCATGGGTGTACTGTTGCAGCAGATAACGTGTACAGAGGAGTAGTGACTTCAGATCTTGAGCATTAGAGTCATTCTTTACAAATGTACCTTTCTCTGGCTTTGTTCTTCATTTCATATAAAGACAAAATACATGTGATAGCATGACAGGCTTGGCATGGACCCTTACCAGGCGTGGCAAAGTCTGTCAGTTTTCCATTATTGAGCCACACGACCTTGCAGCCGGCTCCTCAGCAGCGGCCTTGCCGCTCGGCCTCCGTTAGTAAGAAGGATGTGTCCCATCAGCACTTCCATTGTCTGACATTCCTTGATAGGAAGGATGCGGCAATTCTAGGACTTAAGGCTGGACGTTGATGGCGGAAGGGAGGGCTAAGGCACCCCCAGTACAGCTCTGTAGTGGCGCTGCTATGAAAATAGTGAATGGCCTTGAGTTCTGACTGCAGAAGGTGAGGGATTCCTGCCCAAACCAGAAGATACGCTTCTTTGTGAGTTTGGGTATTTAGCTGTTGTGGTTTTCTAAAGCCAGAGTGACTGAGTCAGCTAACCTCCATGCCAGAGCTGCCCCCACCAAGCCACCCCTCCAACCACACTGGGAAGGCATTGAGCTCTGGGGCACAGAGGTAGACCAGAGCTAGGAAGACACCAGCTGATGGCTCCTGTCTCAGCTCCTTTGTCTCCGGGGCCCCTTAGGAACCTAGCTCTCCAAACTCAGTCATGTCAAAAATAATTTTTTTAATTCCACATCAGATGCTTAAGGTTGTGTCTTAACGACCCCAGCAGCCATAAATGACTGCTAGGAGGAGGAGCACCCAGCCAACAGCACTCTTGCAACCCCTGAACTTGCCTGGATTTGGAGGGCGAAAGTTTGTAATGCTGTACCCACGGTGAAGTTCCCTTACTGGAGGTTTCGGTAGCTGATGGATCCCTGGAGCCATGTGGTCCGGCCATGTCTTCAGGCTCCGTATAAGAATTTCCTCAGATGACCTCCTTGTCCACTTGTGTCCTTATTCATTCATCTAGCAAATATGGCACACACTCCGGTGCCAGGGACCGGGCAGGGCCCTGGGGCACAAAGACAAGCAACACAAACGTGGTCCCTCTGGGGACAGCTTGCAGGCTAGTGTAGAAGCCAGCGCCCCCTTTTGTCTTTATGCAGCGGGAGGAAAGCTTCTTGTTTGATGTTTAAGGAATAATAGAAACACAAATGACTTCTCCCAAGCCCTGCAGATAAAATCAAAGAGAAAAACAGCAATGTCATGGCTCCCCCAAATTCATCTGGATCCTGGAAACCTCAGGGTTTTTTGTCGACTTAAAGAAAAATGAGAAACACCCATGTAGGGACTGATATCAGACCAGAGTGCGCTGGCCTTGGAAGAATCTGGAGGACACCAAACAGCTTTTATTTATGGTGTTGAATGTTCTATTGCCAGTGTTTGGGAGTTCTTTACTTAGTTCAGAGAGGTGTTTACAATGCCTGGCTCCCAGTAGGTTCAATTAACAATTTATTGACTTTGTCTCTGTCGATGTCTATATTTTTAACAGAAGAATCGAAATACCTATTTCACGCAAAAATGCTTAAACAAATTTAGCTAAGAGGAGCAGAACGTTGAGAAATTCAATTTACGTTTCTTAGATAAATACGCGGCTATGTAAACATTTTCTAGTAAGGATCAGTGAGGGGTGATTTCACTCTTTTAAAAAGGTAGCTTTGAAGACTATTCCAGCTAATGGGTGAATGATTCTTTCCTGTTGTGGTGCCTGGTATGGCGTCCCTGGGCTCTGTCATCATAAAGGAGATTAGGCAGGGGCTGAGGACCTGTTTCCCTCTCTTAGCTGGCAGCCCTTTACATATCTTCTCGCTTCAGCTAGAATTTGGGGCAAATCTTCTTAATGAGGATAAGTAGCCTTTACAAAAATCTATTCATGCCAGGGAGAGAAGAGTCTTGACTACCGGGGTCTAGGGAGTAGGGATGGGGATGGAGGGGCTCACCTCTCTTGGGCTTGAGTATTGATCATGACCCTCTCTCCCACCTCCGCTCTCTCTACAAACATTTTCCCCGGGGAGAAGGATCAGCACACAAGGTCTGGAATGGAGGTAGTTAGTAAAACCAGTGAGAATTTGTATAAGCTCTGTCAGTTGCCATGTCATTGTTCCCAGGAATCTGTGAATATTTAGCTACTAGTATGTCTTTCCCTAGGGAATGAGGGGCCAGAGAAACTTTGGTAACAAAAGGGATAGGATGGAAAATTTCCTCCTGACTTTTGGATTTTGGAGGCCATCTGTTAAGGCAGGGTAAACTGAGACCTCAGACCGTCTCAAATAATCGCTATAATGTCAGTAAAATTCTAATGTCACGATGAACAAGTTAGCACCAAAGCATGTTGACATCAGCTCATCTCAAAATGAGCTGCATCAGAAGCACTCATAAATATGTAAACAGAGGAGTCAGGTGGGTTTAAAATTAGACCTGATCTTTTACACTAAGTTATTTCTGGCCATGTAGGAGAAAATGAAGTCCATTCTGGCAAGAATGTTAGCCCTGGACAGAGGTCTCTCACTGCCAAGCAGGAGTGATGGGAAAGCCTGCTTGCTTCCTGCTTGCAGTCCCTTCCTGAGCACCTTCTCTGCTGGGCCCCGCATGGAGACACCCCCAGGCTTCCAACAGCGGGGAGCCATGCAGAAGAGGAGGGCTGGAAACCTGTCCCCAAAAGCAGTACAGAACTTTCTCAGGTTCCCAAATTTCCCAAGTTCACAGTTTATCTGTGGATTAAAACAGTGCTGGCTCAACCCCATGGAATGAGCAGCACGTTGCCTAGGGCCAGATCTGGCCACGGCCCCAGAAAGGCTGGGGCTTGTTGGATGGAGGGGGTGGGATTTTGGAGAAATTGGATCATATGCTAAATGAAATAACAGAACCAGGGTATTACTTCCTGGTGTTACATAATTCAACCAACAGAATGAAGATCTGTTATTTTAAAAAAGAACCATGTCATATCTTCGTCTAATAATATTTCTTTCCTCCAGAAGACAGCCCCATTCTCAGATTCCAGAACCACATTCTCAGTTCCTCAGATTGAACCAAACATTCAGACAGTTTTGATATTTTCCACATCTTATAAAGACAAAGCATTTTGGCTGCTTGCATTTTAATTTTTTCAAAGACCTAAAAATGGCTGGCAGATCAGAACGAATAAACAGTCTTCAGTACAAAGTCCTCAAACCCTCACACTGTTTTTGACTCAGGCTGTTACCGTGTAGAAAAACCAATTCAATATTTTAAAAATATAAAGTATTTCAGATATGCAGAAAAGCATGAAGAATGTAACAAACACCTTTGAGCTCACAATTCAATATAAGCAATAAGATATGACCCATACAGTTGAAGGCCCCACTATTCCCTCCAGATGACTACTGTCCTGAATTTGATATCATTCCCATGTTGTCTGTTTTACTATGGACTTGTTTTACATGCTTAAGCTTTGTATAAATGGTATATATAATATATGTTATAATAATATATAACATAAAAGTATATAATGCGTTCATCTGCAATTTGCTTTTTTTCTGCCTATAATCACAAGATTCATCTATGTGGATATATACAAGCACATCAAAAATCTGTATGATATTGTACATATACAATACATATATATATATATATATATATCACAATTTACCTATCCATTACTAAATATTGCCAAATTGTTCTAAAAAGTTGTACCAATTTCAACACTCACTATCAATATATAAAAGTGTTCTTCTTGCTTAATACCTTTGACAAAGCTTGGTGTTATCATGATCAGACTATAATTTTTGCAATAGAATAGGTGAAAGGATGACCTTGTTGAAGTTTTAGTTTGCATTTCTGATTACTAGTGAGCTTAGGTGTGTTTATTAGCCACTTAGTTGTCAACTTCTTTGAATAATCTCTTTATGGCTTTTGATTATTTTCTATTGGTAGGTTGTTTTTCTCATTACCTTATAGGAGTTCTTTATATGTTCTTAATACTAATCCCTTCTCGGTATTGTGCGAGTATTTTCCCTCACTGTACTTTGTACTTTCCCTCTTTGTACTTTGCTTAAGGTGAATTTTGGTGCATAGATGTTTTGAATTTTAATACAGTTAAATTTTATCAGTCTTTTACTTTTGGTTTGTCTGGAAGTAAGAAATACTTCCCTACCTCAAGATGATAAAGATAAACCTTCAGTGTTTTCACCCAAAAGTTCCATTTATTCACTAGTTCAGCTCTTCCCCCTAGACCCTTCAGGGCCACTTCTGTCATCTATCAAGTGTTAGACTCTCTGCCATGTTCTGTTGATCTATTTGTCTATCTCTGGATGAAAACCATCGTTGGGATTTGGCCATTTGGGGGCACAACTTCCATCTTTATCATTTCCTTGAGTTTGCCTTGGCCTGGTACAGGCAACCAAATAAATGGCAGCCCAGTAAGCAGAGGGGAGAAATCAAGCCAAAGTTAGCCCTGGGTAAGACATAAGCTGAATAGTTAACTCCTAAATAAATTAATTCCTAAGAAATTACTGTATAGTAATGAATATAAAAAGCCCATATAATATAAAGCATTTTTTAACAACAACAACAAAAAGCAAAAGCATTAAAAAAACTTTTCTGGGCTATTATAAAGTTCATTTGATAATGGAAACTAGAGACCATCCCCAGTCGATACCAATGTTCTTACCTTTATTTTCTAAAATGGATGTAAACATAGTTTGCATACAGCTAGTCATAGGGAGTTCTGTAAAATAGTGTTGAAACTTTACATGTGTTCCCTGGATCCCTCAGAGCATCCAAATTGAAGGTCCCTGAAGGTCTGTCCCTGAGAAACCCTGAGCATGCACCAATTCTGTCAGGCATGGGTATTTCATTCAAGGGAGACTTGATTGTCCTGAGAAACGTTCTCAGTGACACTGTTATAACCTCATGATCGCTACTTGGTGTTCTGCAGTGTCTTCAGATTCAGACCCTCTTGTACGGGCCACAGAACAAGAGGACTCTGGCCACCCAGCAGACGGTGGACGTCCTGTCCAAGTGAGTTGGCCTCTGCTTGCACTGTTTCCTTTGCCATCCCGGATCTCAAAGGAAGCTGGTTCTGTAAGGTTCTGTGAACTTTCCGTGGGAAGTTTTACTAACTGACTTCCTGTAACTCATCACCTATACAGGACCAGTGGTTCCTTTGAAAACCCAGCTGTAAACTAGCTTCCCTTGCCCAGATACTAAGAAGAGATTAGCTCTTGAGTAATGTCAGAAACACACACTGGGATTCTCCCTCCTACAGGCCAGCACCTGCAGGTCACCTCCCCTGCGGGAAGGCAAGGGCGCAGTGCCCTAGCTTGGCCGGCTGGCCTGTCAGGATGGGGGGGGGCCTGAGAGCCCCCTGACTTCACCTCGCAGGCTGACCCCAGGCCTTTCGCAACCAGTGAGCAGAGAAGAGGCACACACACTGCTGCAGAGATGCTACACCTCACAGAGCCTGTGGGCAGACTGCCAAGGAAAGATCATGGAAGCATGGAAGGCGAGGAGACAACCAGCAGGGGGCACTGTCTCAGAGCCCACCCCCTGAGCCGGGGCCCCTTCAGCCTTGAGCCCGCAAGGCCTCCAGCCCCAGCCTCTCTGCTTGTGTTCCGCTCCCTGAGCCAGCCAAGGGCTGATGCTCTCAGCTCAGCGAGAATGGTCCCAAGGAATTAGAAAGCGGGAGAAAAAAAGTCCTGGGCTGGGATTCTCTTCTCATTTATGTTCCCTCCCCAGGCTCCTTCGTGACCTGTAGCTCACAATTGTGAGGCTTCCCTTCACCGCAGCAAGGGCTGGGCTGGGGGCGGAAACCGTGCGGAGGTCTGAGGGGCACCACACTCACCCCACCTTCTGCTCCTTGGCAGGACCCCAGAGGTGGCTGTGAAGTCTAGGCAGGCCCCGAAAGCCAAACCAGCCTTCTACACCGGCGTGGCCCCGCACACTGTGCTGGGGAAGGCGCGGGCCAACGTGGCGGACTGAGCCCCCCCTCCCCCGCACCCCCAGAGAGAGCTTTAGTCATGCCCGGGCGCCAACACTGAGGGTCCCCTATCAACCTCTCCAACAAGAAGGTGGAATCCGACAGCCGGTCAAGGTTTGCTGTTTGCAGACTTCCTGTGGGCCACATTTGGACAGTGGATACCCTCCAGGGTGATCTGGTGCTTCTACAAAGAATTTTTCTTTTTTACCACCCAAGTGGTTTTTCTCGCCAACAAAAATTTTTACCCATCAGCACTGCTGGGGCTGCAAGGCTTCTCTTCAAAAGTTTACAACTTCCTGTGTGTCAATACAGTGGAGAGCCCCTGGCACAGATCTGGAGTCAGATTTGGAGCAATAAAATTCTGGAAAAAAGCCCTTTCTTATAGGAAGATAATAGGAATTGAGAATAAAATGCTAATGAGGAAACTTGGGAGTGCTGGGGGTTGGTATGTGTTTTTAAAATGAAGCCTGCCTCAGAGTTGCTCGGAGCCTAGAGAGGGGCGGGAAGAAGCTTCTCTTTACTCATGCAATCAGTCATTCACTGAATGTGGCTGAACACCCAGTGAGAGCTGGGGACACAATAGTAGACAAGACACACTGTCCCCCTCCCCTCAGAGCTTGCCACCCAACACGGACGCTACGCTAAACATAATGGTGCAATTAGTTGGTAGCAGAGGGAGAGAGCCCAGTACAGCGAGGCAGGTAGTGAATGGTGGTAAATGGGCCAGAGGTCAGGGGAGGCAGGGGTAAGGGAGTGAAGACAAGACAGATGAGCAGGAGTGAGGCCTGGAGCCTGGAGAGGCTGCGGGGGAGGACCGCTGACTCCTGTGGCCTCTACTCCGGGCAGGAGAAACATGGCTGCCCTCTGGAGCTGCTTTTTCTTTTCTTTTTTTTTTTTTTTGAGTTGGCCCAGTCCTTGGCCCCCTGCTCTCCCAGCTTTCTCTGGGTTCAGCATGTGAGGTGGGGAGGGCGGGAGTGGGAGGAGCACTCACGTCCCACAGTGCTCTTCCGTCTCCTGCGGGGGGGAGGCCGTCGCCACTCGAGAATGGAAAAGCAGCGTGGGAAGTTTTGAGCACCTTTCTTCATGCTGTCAACAATGAGAGCCGGTGCTAGATAAAGGTGGACAGAGTACACAGCGGGTGGGGATGGGCTGTGGGTGGCGCTGTTCCTTCTCCCTCCCACCCTCATCCCATGGACCGCGGTCCCACGACGCTGGTGCTTAGATGGCAGCAGGATGCAGCACGGGCCCCCTTCCACCCCAGCACCCAGTGAGAAACCCAAAGCCACTCTGGTTCCATTTGGGCAGGATGCCACCTCAAGAACTGATGGGGGAAATAAACCAAAAAGGCTCATGACAGGGGAGAGAGGGAGGCAGAGTCCCCGGCCCCCCTGGGAAGTTGTGAGCTGCCCACACAGGCCACCACCACCGGTACCCACTCACCCAGGTAGGCCTGTGGTGGGATGAAGGCACGAGACGTGGTCACTACTCACCAAGTGTTCCATCTAGTTGAAGACGTGGGTTTCAACGTGGATGGTGGAATAAGCATTTTAAGTGTACACCACACACTGGAGTCTGCCAGGGACTGAATGTGCACCTCCAGAATTCATGATGAAGCCCTAATCCCCAGTGTGAAAATACTAGGGGTGGGGCCTCTGGGAGGTGATGGGTACATGAGAGGAGACCCTGTGAATGGGATTGATGCCCTGATCAAAAGAGACACGAGACATGATCGCTCTTCACCACGTTAAGACACAAGACGACCGTCAGGCAACCAGAGAGCCCCAGCCAGGCACCGAAACCACCAGCGCCTCGATCTTCGACTTCCGGCCTCCAGAACTGGGAGACAGAAATGTCCCTTGTGTGAGCCTCCCAGTCTGTGCTCTGCTGTTGCCGCAGCCTGAGCAGACAGGAGTCCATGTTGGGCTTTTGGGGGAAAAAAAGTGAATTCTGATGTGACTTCTTCCTTTCTGTATTTCTTAGAGGAGGTGGTCTTGGAATCACAGAAACTAAAAGGCATTTTAAAAAATTTTGTCCCTACCCCAGGAAAGAATGAACTTAGGAATGTCCCACCCAAATGTCTCCCATCTATTACATGTGTTAACTTCAACACAAGAGGAAGAACATAGATATTCATGGTCTTTGTGGTAAAAAGTTATATACAGGTAAGGGTATCTAATAACTCTTCTGTGTCTCCAACAACTGCAAGTTTTTCAAGCACCAAGAAACAGCCATGATTTACTAACCCCTGCAATTTGCACTTAAGTGAACCAGCCACGTTGGCGTGCCTTGGGCTGTCCTGGTTTTAGCATTGAACGTCCCATGTCCCCGGAGACACCTCCCTCCCAGGCAACAATGAGATGGCTGGTCACCCTACAGCACTAGCCTTCCAGGCTGTGACGACCACAGTCTTACCACAAACTGTCCAGTCTGTGTTTGAATATACAAGCCAGCTGGTTTTTGCTCTGTCCGCCATGCTTTCTAGTTCTGTGTGAACACCACCAAGTTCTAATTCAGGTAAGGAACCGGAACTTCTCATACAGAGTCTCCCCAGTGATTCTGTGCCACCATTTAAAGAAAAAAAAAAAAAAACATGCATATGAACACATACAGGTTTTAATTAAATAGAAAGCACAAAAACACCTACTAGAAAACATTCATTTTCTCCAGGAACAAGGTGGGTTTTTTTTTCTTAGATTTTTATTTTTATACATTCTTGTGACATTTCCCTAGGTAGGGAACAGCTTAGAAAGATCAGCTTTTTCAATGATTCCATCCTAAATATACATTTGAAAGCACACAATATCAAAACCACCAGTGGGAGGGTGCAAAGCATGGTTAATATGGTTTTGTCTCCACAACGGTAAATATTGGTTCTGTCCCACCCCCAAAGTTGATTTCTATTGTCTCCAGAGCGACTGGTTTTAAAGGACCCGGAGCTGTGGGGTGATCTGCACAGTGTGGAGGGCCTGCCCTGCTCCTGGGTGATCCAGAGACTGAGCAACCAAAGATAACCTTGGGAGTCCATATCGGTGAATTACTCTTGGCAGGCTACTCCTTGAAGATCCGTGTTCTAACATGGAAATATAAATCAAGACCTCAGATACTTATTTTCCGAACAGAGGTGGGTCACGAAATTAGTAATCTGTTAGCACTCATTTACCAGATCACAAGGCAGGAGAGGGACATAAAACTAAGCCCACTCGGACTCACAGAACAGACTCCCCATCCTCAGTCTGTCTTGCCATCAAACCGGTAGACTGTCACCTTGACCAATAAATCACTTCTACAAACACCATCACCCACTACAGCTAACAGAAAATCAGCCCATCCTTGACTGTATCAGAAAGGAGAAGTCTATGCAAAGCTGTCACCTCTGTACCAGTTTGTGACAGTTACTGGCTCATCTGGCCGACAACAATGCTTTAAACTTGGAAGTCAACTTTGTCTACACCCGGATTCACAGTGTTTATAAGACAGATCACCCTGAAAGCTTTGCTGCATTTTTCCTCGGCTTATTAAGAAATCGCACTCTCCCTCAACTCTCTGCTGTGGCCATTTCTGGAGGCCGAGGAGATGGAGGTCTCGGGGGCTGGAGAGCCACTGTGTGACCCTGCCCCCCCATGCCATAACCACCACCCCCATCACCATAACCCACTTGAGGCCGATGTCACCTCGAATCGTTATTCTTCAGCTCGCTACCGGCAGCTCTAGATTCTGTGTTAGACAAAATACAGTTTCAACTTTATGTGCAAGAAACTAGCTTGGATTAAAATAACGCTGTGCTGCTAGAGATAGTATTTTTGCATGAGGCCCTACCTCTGAAGATGGAAGCCTGAAAAGCAATGCCCTTATGTAAAATTATACAAACCCAATAAAGCACCCTCGCTCTAGTGTCTTAAACTCGACGGTATGGATGTGAAGGTCAGCATCCTGTGGCCCAGGAGGGTAGGGCCTTTGCCTTCTTCTGGGGGCCCCTCCTGGGTGCGTCAATGCTGGGCAGCCAGAGGGGAGCCCAGCTTCTTCCCCTAAAACATCTTCTTCTACTCAACATTAGTATTCACTCCCCTGAACGAAACACCCCAGCTGTAATCATTTCTGTTAAAAACACAAAAACTTCCTTGAGATTGGTGGTGGTTTTTCATCGCGAAGTCTCTGAGCTCAGAAAGACCTTGGCCCCTTTCGAGGTGGGTTGAAAGGGCTTCTTCGGGAGGCATCGTCCGCCCTGTGCTTCCGGGGGTCACTGCACGACCATCTGGGAAGCCAAGTTCTCGTCCGAGCATCAACGTTCTCTTTATGGTCTTCGGGGTCTGCCTCCCACCAGGAAAATTAAATGTTTAGGTGCTAAGGGCTAAGGTGCAGGGAAGCTCGAGAATACTCTGATAGGAGCTGGCTACTCCAGAACTTGGGTTGTAACAAAAAAGAGTATTTAGACCGTGCGCTACTTGACCACCTAGTACTGCAAAAAAAAATACTCGAAGCTAGTCCCAAGAATCATTTCCCCTACACACGCAGGACCGGTGAAGGGTTCTGGGACCTGTGCAAACATAGCAAGTATATTAGGGACTTGAAATATCACCATAGGCTGAGGCTGTCCTCTCCATAAATAAAACAGTATATATATATTTTTTTAAAGCTCTGCACATAGAAAGCAATTCGTTCAGGTCTTAAAGTGAATTTAACTTTTTCCTAAAGAAAAAATCATTTAGAGCTTTATTTTTTTTTTAAATGGAAGCAATCTGCTTCTCGAGAACACTTAGAAAAACGTATACATTTTTCCTTTTCAATGCTAGTTTATTATTTCATATTAGCACATGCAAATAAGATTGACTCGTAAATAGATTACTTTTACCTTGTTACCATAAAGGCATCTGACCTTACGGATAGTTAATTATAATTTTAGGCAGATGTGAGGCATTTCTGTGACCAGGAGCAAAACTGGTAGAAATTGTCTCTAGCGGTGGGAGAGAAAACTCCAGGAAAAGGAACTTTGAAGACTAAAACAATAAAAAAAAATATTCCTGTCAAAGTTCCAACTCAAAAATAAAATTCCAACACCTTTAAAGGTGTGAATTAATTTGAAACCTTTACCGATTACAGAGTAAACTGACATCGCCTGGAGCGCTCTTCGGAGAAAGAAAAAGGGGGCGTCTTAATCAAGAGTGAGCTTCCCTCCTTCCAATTAGTAAAGGCCTGTGTGTGTGTTGCCATGTTACCAAGTAAGATACCACTGAAAACAAAATATTTATCAAAACCAGTGGTCCTCACTGCCCTCCTCCTGATTGTCTAGGTAGAGGAGGGCCACTTTCTTTTCATCCGAAATCACCGACCTTTGGTCTACCATCCTCTGTAGCTGCACCGTCTTGTCAAACTCAGTCTGCTCCTTGCCCTTTTCCCCGGGGACCTGGCGTCCGTCCCCAGCAGAGCCCTGCGAGCTCCCGCCGGCCACCCAGGCCTTCCCACTGCCCCCGTCGGGGGCGCCATGCGCAGCCGCTTCCGTCCCTGCGGGGAAGAAGACCGTGGTCTCTCGTGTCCAGCGAGGGGTCACCTCTACGTTGCTCACGTCCACCTGAAAGGGAAACGGAGTGTCTTGGGGCCCCAGCGCAACCCGCCTTAGCACTCTGCAACTGTCTGCTAACTCGCCTCGCTCAGGGGACCCACTGAGCCAGCAGGTGCAAGCGCTTCACACACGGGTCCCTGGAAGACGACCTGTTCAGAGGTTCTTCTTGCTGCGGGGACCCTGCCCAGTGCACCTGCTCATGCCCGATGCCTCTTCTGCCCCTGATGCATCTCCCACACTGGCCTCCGGAGGTGACGGGGAACCGGCCCTTTGGAAGGCGCCCTCTCCAGGATCGCCCTGCCCACTGTGTACCTATGAGCAGCCTGGCTCCCGTCTGCCAAGCCCTCTCTGCGAGCACTGCTTTCTGAGTCACTAAGTGCTCCGGGCAAGGGAATGATCTGCTCAGTGGCCAGATGCCTCGGAGACCCAATTTTGACCTTGCCTCGTGGATCTGCCATTCCCTGATCACCCTTCTGTCTGAAAGGGGGGCCGTGACCTGGATTTGCTCATGGAACCCCCCTCAAGCGCTTACCTGAAGGAGCTTTACATAAGTCTGGGGTACCCACAGACTCTGCGGTTTGAAAATAATCACCGCCCCTCCCCGCCCTTAGAAATGGGGCCCTGAAAAATGACTTCCCTTTTAGCATGAGACTGTTTGGAGCCAAACACACTTGTGTCTCTCCGTGTCTGTGGAAAGCTCTATGGGGCCAGGCTCTCCTGGGCCGCCCCCCCACCCCTGAAAGGCAGGGACGGATCCTTGGAGGAGGACTTCTTTGGCCCCTTGACTTTGATCAGGACCCAGGGCGAGGTGCCTCACAGACCGGTGCGGGGCGGGGGCGGCGGGGGCTGCCGAGCCGGCTGTCTGACTTGGGTCACCTTCCCCACTTACCTCCACCACCTCTGCCGTGGGTCCCTCGTGAGAGACGTGCTCAGTCCTCCAGATCCCAGTGGGGCCTATCTGAACGCGCCGGACAGACCGGCTTACATCCTCGAGCACGTGCGACTGGCCAAAGCCCGTCGGGCTGGTGACTTCCACGGTGGCCGACACGGGCCCCTGGGACATGGCCGGCTCGGTGCCGGGGGAGGCCCTGCCGGCGTCGTCCTCCTCACCGTAGGGGCAGTACAGCTCCTGGGTGGCCCAGCGCCTGAAGCGGAGGCCGGCAGCCGGGGCCTCCGCTGCGCTCTCCCCGTCTGGGCTCCTGGGGGCTGCCGGGCTGTGCCGCTTGGCCAAACTGTCTCGTACCACCGACTCCACGGCCTTCTCGATCTCCCCGGCTTCATCTCTGCTCAGCTCCTCCAGGTCTAACTGATTGGCATCCACGGTTTTCGAGAGGTTGACTTCGGCAACCAAGGTCACGGCCCTACCGCCGGAGGTGTGCACTTTCTTGACGTCGATGGACACGTTCTCGGGCCCGCCCTGCCCCTCTCTGGTGAAGGCCGACAGCTCTTCCTTCATGTGCTCTGGAAGGCTTTCTTCTAGCTGCCCGATCACCTCCACCAGCTGGTGTCGGGGCTCCTTGAAGGCCCCCTTGATGGACGTGTGGAACTCGGGTGGTATTTTAATCTCCTTTTCGATGACTGTGGGTTCGGCATGAAATTCACCGCTTCTAGTTTGTTCTTGCCAGTGAGTACGACCCATGTCTTCCTCCAGCGGAGCTTCTAAGACATCCGGTGGCCTCACAACCGTCTCTTCCGACCCGTCATCCCTCTTTATTCTTCTCCGAGTCCCTGGCAGAATCTCATCTTGCCAAGAGTACCTGATGGTCGATTCTTCCTCAATGTGGATCTGCCCATACACCGAGACGTCGTCTCTGTCCTGCCCCCCGGGGTGCTCATCTGGCGTCGACACAAAATAACTCTGCTCTCCTCCTTCCGAGTCGCCTGCCTCCATGACTTCCTCGACATGGCTTACGTTCTCTTGGGGCCACTTGGTCTCCTTAGGCCGATTACCTGAGAACGTGATATCTGCTCCTCCATAACCTTCTCCCTCGTCAACAAGCCCCTTGGAGCCTGGAGACACATCGTCCACCTCCTCTACTTTGAACGGGGTAGAAAACTCCTCTGCCTTCTCACCACTGATGTAGCTCATGGGTTCCTCGATGATCTCCACGTTGACGACCCTTGCCCTCCCCTCTCTTCCTTTCAGACCAAGGTTGATTATGTCTCCTATCATCCGCTCGGCCGACTTTCCCTTCAGGTTCACCTCCTTCACGTCCTTGCTCAGAAGGTAGTCCAGGCCGGCTTCGTCCGAAACATCGACCTCCTCCGTCAGTCTCGACTCCACGACTATCTCGGTCTTTGTTTGCCTGTCGCCGGCAAGCTCTTTCCTGTCCACGTAAGTGACCTTTGTGTCTGGAGAAGCATTAGCAGATGCCTCTGCATCCGGAGACTGGGTGAACTGCTTCAGGATGCTGGACACGATGTTTTCCGCTATGGTTTCGGTCGTGGACTCGCCCCTCGGTGAGCTGGCGGTGTCGCCGGGGCCCAGCCTAAACCGGGCCTCCCGGGTTTCCACGCCTCTCCCGGTGCCATCCCGGGCGTGCTCCTGGGGGGGCGTCTGGCAAGCTTCTGGGGCTGCCTGTGGCGCGCTCTCCCGGGAGACTTCTAGACTGATCGGCACCTCTTTCTCTCTCACGCTTTTCTCCTGCGCCGACTCCTTCCCTCTCCCCTGTTCCCTCAGCTGCTGGCTTTCTCTCTTTCTTGCTTCTTTATCTAACTTCGTCAGCTCTTCCCACCTTAGGTTTCTCTCCTCGGAAGCCTTCTCTTTGGAATCAAACATTTTCTCCTCCAGCTTTGTCTGGACGGTTCCTGGCCTGTTTCTGTCTCGCTCCCTCGTGGCGTGAGCTTCTGTCTTCTTTCCCACAATGACGGTCCTCTCACTTGACCAAGTGCTTCTGGAAGCGCCTGCCGGCCCATCGTCCCGCTGCTCTTGGTAGGACTTCTGGGCCACGGCCGACTCTCGGGCCTCACGAGTGGAGGCGTCCTTCGTACTTGCGGTTCTTGGCCTCTCGGGGAATGTCTGCGCTAGAGCTTCAGGGTCTCTTAAAAGACCGTGCGCTGGAGAGAAAGTTCTGAAGTTGGTTTGACTCTTGGCAGTTTTCTCACGCTTGTCGGCAGTTTCTTCGTAAGTCGTTTCCTCCCGGGTGGCGGTGCGGGAAGAATATTCTGAGCCTCGGAAGCCTCTTCCGGCAGCACCTGCCGCGGCGGGCTGGGCCGGCAGGTGCGGGTGCCGCGCCAGGCTGTGGCTGAAGCTGGCCGCGGGTGCTTTCTGCCTGGCAAACAGATTCCTTTCATTTTCCCTCTGTAACACCGAGCTGGCGTAGCGATAGGACGCGCTCCTGAGCTCTGCGGAAAAGGAGAGGCATCATTACCTTCTTTCTTCTTAAAAGCATCACCACAGGTCAAATCCCATCGGTCATCATAAAAGCGTACTATGATGGCAGAAGGGCCATTGTAAAAGTGAGAGATTTTCAATCCCCAAATCATTTCTTTTGGTAGTTTAAAAAGTCCTGTTACCATAAAATAGAGCATGACACGTGCTTCGAGCCAATACCTTTCTCCGCTTACTGATCTTAACAAACATCGACCGCGTGATCACAGAGCATGGTACACGCATCAGAGAAGTCAGGGGTGGGGGCGCCTGGGTGGCCCAGTCACTAAGCATCTGCCTTCCGCTCAGGTCATGATCCTGGGGTCCTGGGATCGAGCCCCACATCGGGCTCCCTGCTCGGCGGGAAGCCTGCTTCTTCCTCTCCCACCCCCCCGCTTGTGTTCCCTCTCTCTGTCAAATAAGTCAATAAAATCTTTAAAAAAAAAAAAAAAAAAGAGAGAGGTCAGGGGTGCCCATTTCCGGGGCTGAAATTTTACAATATCCTGATAATTTGGAAACATTCATCTCTACTTTGTTGACCTAAGTTTCTTTAACACATTTCAGCGGAGAAGAGCTTTATAATTACAAAGTACAGGATTACTAAACACCAATGCACTGTCCCTCCACCATTTCATGGGCTGTTATTCGCCACTGGTTTCCACGGTGGGCCAACAAGTTCTGCAGAATTTAACTTTTTCTAAGGCTCCCTGACTTCATCTATTTTTACACTTCTATATTTACAAACTTCTCATTTGACAAGGAGCCAGAGCAGGAAGCCAACCAGGCACCAACACTATGGTCTGTTTTAATGTCATGATCCTGGGCGTGGGAGGCAGTCCACTGGGCTTCCTGCTTGGCTCAGGATCGTCCACCGAGAGTGCTACCTTGGGCGTGTCCAAACTCCACCACGAGGGTACCTGCTCTTAGGAATGGCCTCTGGTGGTTAGAAGGTGGCCAGGAGCACCATCCTCCTGGAGAGCGCCCCCTGGTGCCTGCCACACCCCATCCGGGGGAGTGGGGTAAAGCCTACTCCCCCAGCTTGGTCTCCCTGTCACCGCAGCCAAAGCCAGGCACCCCTTTGGGACAGATCCCAGGACACAGGAGAGAGACGAGGCCAGGACATTTTCTACGAAGATTCCTCTTTTCAGATCAACACACTACTCCCTAAACAGAGAGGCCCCAGAAGATGAACACCCAGGGAAAGTGCAGGAACCATCTGGTTTTTAATTAAGGTCCACCGAGAAATACAAAAGATGACAGACTGGTTTCAGGATCTATCATCTTGTGAGCAAGTGGCCAGCATTACTCTAGACAATATCACAAATGAAACATAAGTGTCTTCATAAGCACTGATAAATTCACTATCTAGGAACACATCTGTACATTTATTCAGCGAACAGTCAATAGGCACGTATATCGTACAGGACACAGAATGATCTGGAAGCTCAAAGCCTCATAAAAGAGTTCCCAACCCGTCCTCTTTTGTCTTCTTTAAGATTTTATTTATTTGACAGAGAGAGACACAGCAAGAGAGGGAACAGAAGCAGGGGGAGTGGGAGGGGGGGAGGCAGGCTTCCCGCAGAGCAGGGAGCCCGATGCGGGGCTCAATCCCAGGACCCTGGGATCACGACCCGAGCCGAAGGCAGACGCTTAACGACTGAGCCACTCAGGCGCCCCTTCCTCTTTCTCCTAATGCTACTTGCTTTTAGCATAATCCGTAATTGCCAAACTAAATTTAGTTTACAAATACTGTCTCCGTATCCTTTAAGAAGCTTGACAAAACAATCAGTGAATGAAACAAGTTAACAGGCTCCCAGGAGCCCTCTTGCTGAGCTCTTCCTAGGCTCCACGATCAAAGCTGTCAGAGATCCCTTAAGCCCTGGCCCCTAACCATTGGTTCCCCTCCAAGTCTGGCCCCAGCCCTTTTCTCCTCCCTCCCTTCTAAGTGAAGACTCATGTACCCTCATGTAAAAAAATGTAGCTAAGTAAACCTTGAAATCGGGTGAATATCTTTGGCTTTTTTCAACCTTACTCTCAAGATCAGAAAGCAAACTTGTCAGATGCCATCTACGACCAAACCCAAACCAGTCACAGATACCTACAACCAAAACTGTGGTTCTGAACCCAGTGACCTTTCAAAGCTGTGACGTGCCTTAGAGGGATGCAATTTTTAAAAAATAAAAATGCACAGTGTTTTTGTTTTGTTTGAATCTGCCCTCTCTGCAGATTAGCTGTTAACCAAATATTCTCCTGATAGAAGTACCAAATACATGCATTCCCAATGTGCCATGATTTCAAATACAGTAACACTCAAAGAGACTGAAACTCTGCTGAGTGTGTCATAGCCTGAGCGTACTGTACGTAATTCAGTCTGCCCTTCCTCAGCCAGAAAGCCCTTTAAGTTCTATAGGACTTTAAAAGCTTTTTTTTTTTCTCCTTCTAAAGTTATCCTACAGGTTCTTAGGGTCCTTCTAATGAATGCTAACCTGTTCCGTCGGTTCTGCAGCTATAGGGAATATGAGCTTTATTCCATAGCTTTTGGCCTCAATCAAGACAGACCTTAGGGCACCCAGGGACACCTGCACCACATGCATCAACATGAGCTGTCCAGGCCAACCCGGGGTAATAACGAACGGTATAACCGTTCCCACCTCTGCCCCTCACGGGGGACCAAGTTCCAGAATATTGACTCCCTGCTCCACAAAGTAATACCGCCCCATACTTGTGCTAAAGCTGCAAGTTTTCGGTCTGTAAAAGGCGTTCCCTCCAAAGGGGGTGATACACGAGCGCCCGTCCAGGCTCCTCGCCCTTCACGCTTCCCGCCTCTGCAGCAGCACCTTCTCCTCCCTCCTCACACTGGCCAGATGAATAAATGAGTTTACTAAGCACTTTTCCATGCATTCCCATGTACATTCTTATTTAAACCATGACCCATTACATAAAATCTATTTGGTACTTAAGAGAGGGATGAATGACACTCACCTGAAAAAAAATCATATCTAACCCCAATTCTTCCAGACAAATGATGCTTTACTATTTAGCCATGGAATGAACCTGTTCAGATGGAAAACATCTTAAAATTAAATAATTAGCTTTTCTTCTATTTACCTTGTGGCACGTTTTCAAGGCGCTCAGTCAAGACCAATACCTCTGGATTACTCTCTCCTTCCAGTAAGGCTCTGTAAAAATAATTGAAAAAAACAAACAAACAAAACCTCATCAGGAAACAGAAGAGTGAGAAATGCTGCCGTAAGCCACAGTATGTAGTATTTGGTCGGTGACCACACTGTCACAGTGTCCCGTGTTTTAGGACTCGTGTCTGAAGATACTGCACCGCAAGGATGCAAACCCTGCTCGGTGGGCCTGGCTAGATAGAGCGATGAACCTAATGAGCGGCGAAGGCTTCAGAAGTTTTGGAGAGGCAAGCCCTTCCAAACCCAGGACAAAGAGGAGGAGCTAGACCGGGTGTGGGCCCAGGAGGGGAGGTCAGGGGTCTGGCTTGTCTGGGAAGTGGGGAGGGGCCCATGCATGGCAGGTCACCCCAGGCCAGAGGGCCCCAGAACGATTACAACCCCCACTGGGGTTGTCCTGGAGTCACAGGTTGGGGGCTGACTAGGAGCAGGGCAGGGACTGCCATGTGTTAGTAAGTAAGGCGGCCAGATGGCATGTGTGTTTTCATGCTGGGTTCCCTGGGGACGTCTTAGAGCTAAAGGGAAGGAAAGAGAATGGAAGGTAGGCGGGCAGGCAGATGAGAATGAATAGCTGCAGACCACCCCCCCTCCTTCCACCAGCACCACCCCAGGGGTCTCGGGGCAACCACAGAAGCATCCCATTATCTCCTTTAATAAAACAGCAAAGAGCACTTGGGTGGCTGATCCGTTCGGCCACGTCGAGAAGTCTAAAACTGCAGACTCATCATTAAGCAGTCATTCACGGGCACAACTCGGAGCCCCAAGGACAGAGTGGAGGGGCAGGCTTCGGCCCCGAAGGTTGGCACCGGAGGCCAGTCACTCAGAGAGACCCCCTAGGACGCCGGCTGCTGTGGGAACAACAGTTGTTTGGTCGCTAGAGCAGAGTGGGAAGTCGTCACTACCTTCGGTTCCAAGGAATACACTGTGCATGGCAAAGGGCAACCAGAAGCAGGGCCCACTTGGAAGTAGCGATATTACCCCGGAGAGCTGGGCACGGAGTCAGGGGAGCGACAGCGACGCCAGATGCGGGGAGGGACTCAGCGGTCTGGGCAACCCGGCGCCGAGCTCTATTCCCTCTGCTTCAGATGCAGCGAACCCCGTGAAGGTGAGAACCCCGCGGGCGGGCAGGGCGGGGGGGACAGCCAGGGAGCGCCCCTTCTGCGGCAGAAAGCAAAGACAATGGCCAGTGGGACTCCGCTCAGAAGCAGAGGCTGAGGTGCACGCATGTGAACGTTCAGGAAGACGAAGGGCCGGGGTCCGGAGCCTTCCACTCCGGGCAGAAGCCAGGAAACAGGACACCAACCCGTTAATCCCACATCCTCATGACCAAGCGTTTTAGGTTCCAGGAACACAAATAGCTTCCATCACCGAGAAAATTCTGCGGTCTGTATATAATAAGAGGGAGGGTCAGGATAGCAGTCGGACACTGGGGGTCTGTGCCCCAGGATGACAGCTCGCCGAGGAGGGGGCAAGCTACAGCGTCCAGGGTGGGGCTTGGTGAGAAGGCCAAGTTCCACTTCAGATCCTCCCTAGGGCCGCTCAGCAGTGGGCAGCCGCAGGGGCCACAGGGCCTCTGCCTCGAGCCGCCCCAGCCAGGACAGAAAGTGCTCGTGAGGAGTCCGGGTCAGCGGGGAGCTCAGTGACAGGGCAGCGCAGGGGGGCTGGGGGAAACAGCTTCCCTCACCTCTCAAAGACGAAAGCTTTAGTTCCTCTCTCGGGGCAAATCCTAACCACCATCCAATTTTGACTGAGTTCAGGACCCTATGCGCTGGTTACCTAGGAGCGGGTGCCCATGCCCCCCCCCCCCCGCGGGTGTGTGTGTGTGTGGTCACGTGCTGGTCACCAGGCCTGGCTAAGACTGGGCACAAAGCAATGGCTCGGACCCTCCCCTCCGCTATGTCAGGAAGCCCTTGTAGCAACCCCCACACAGGGCCAACGGTAAGCATCCCTGGCTCTGGGGTTAGAGGACTGAGTGCAGGGACAGCGTCTTGGCCAAAGGCACACAGCTCCCTCCCCAGCAGGGAGAGTCCACTGGAACCCAGGTCGCCTGGGCGCCCGGCCCCACGAGCTGCTCAGACCTCCCTGCCAGGCCCAAGACAACAGCACTGCGTACAAACTTTCAAAAGAACAAATCCTGCAGACAGACCCCCCCTCCCTGAACATATTAATGCAGGCATATTCAACATCTTTTGGTGACTTCCATCAAAACCCCCCTACAGGGCTCTCCCAGAGCATATGAAGCTCCTCCTGGGGAGGAACTCAGTCCCCCTCTGCAGGGTTGGCTCCTGGGAGGCAGGGGCGCGTGTCACCTCCCCCTCCCCCCACCTCCCAGCACCCAGCACAGTCAAGGCACCGGTCATTTAATTCACGCCTTAATTAGCAGACACCTCTCGTGACACACGTGGCATCCTGCGCCCCACCAGCACAGCTCACAGGACTAAGGGGACAGGGGCACAAACAGAATCACTCTGGAGATGCCAGAAAGTTCCTCAAAAGCGCCAAAGGGCACATTTTTAAGGAATAGACTCATGCAACTTTAAGAAAAGGGTAGAGCGTTCTCTGGTTATTTTGAGAGCGCTGGAGGAGAACGGCCTCCAAGCCGTGGTGACTGTGTGAAATGCCAACCCCCTGAATCATGAGCTATTAGTGAACATTTTATACAGCCCCACAGATTGGTGGCCTCTTAAGCAGGAAAATAAGCAAACATGTGCGGGAAAACCAAGTCCCTGGCCTCACTAAGGAGTGTCTGAGACCAATCCATAGCTCGTAAGTGAGCTATAATGTGGCCTCTGGCCAGGCTCCAGGCCCTAAAAGACCCCACTGGTCATCCGAGCGGGGCCCAGGGTGGGCTGGGGCTCTCTGTCCAGGATAGATTATCCTAATGGAATTTCAGGGCATGTCCGCTGTAATTCCACCCTGGGGGCACAAGGCACGCCCATGTCCCCGATAAATGTGGACAAGAGTGAGGGAAGAGGGACAGTCGGAAGACGTTTCCAGAAGGCATGCCAGTGGAGCCAGCTGGGACGGTTCACAAAGTGCTTCCTGGCTAAACCCAGGTGGGAGGAAAAGGGGAGGGAGCTGGGAGAAGGAGCCTCAGAAGGGCCTCCTGGCCTCCAAGCTCCAGAGAGGGTGGGGGACAGCCTGCCACCCTGACGGGAGGGGTTGAGCGGCTGGGTGCAGTAGGGGAAGCACGGAGAGACGAGCAGCACCATCCGAATTGGGAAGGCCCTGCCCCACACCACAGGCGTTGTACAGAAGATAATACTGAGGCCATGCTGCTCCCGGTCATTCCTTCTGCGCTCAGCTCTAAATCACTTATCAAAGCCTATCCATCTGTTCTAGAGACTGGGGGGGAAAAAAAAAAATCAAATGATTGACAGATAGACCAAGATTACTAATAAAACAGAGAAAAGGAGCCCTGGGAGTGGTTGATGGAGAAACTTCCCGAGTCAGGTTGCCTGGATTCAAATCCTGGGCCTGCTGCTTCCTAGTTCTGTGATCTTGGGCAAGCCACTCAAATCCTCTGTCACTCGGTTTCCCCATTGCTGAAATAGGCAGGATTCGCAGGTGTGTGGTGGTAGCTACCTGGAAAGTTCTCACAACAATGGCTGCCACAGAACAGGGGCTCAATCAATGGTCACAATCATCATGATCATCATCATCTACTGACCTGAGAAGAAAGCTGACTTTCAGTTGACTGAAATAGTCCCAAGAGGGGAAGAGAGAGAGGCTGGATAACCTAAAATCCTGGTGGACAGAGAGCAACCCGTTTCTGCAGTGATGTGGGGAAGGCTGGGAAGCAAATGTATGGTTACCCCCCTCAGCCTCCTCCCCTTGAAACTACAAGATTTTATTAATTTCAAGTATTTCACCTAATAACCAGCTGAGTCTCTGTGTTAAAACACGGTTGTTAAGTAAATAGGAGCAAAACAAAAATACATTTTGTTTTAGCAAAACAAAACATATTTCTCCAAGCGCTGGGGAAATTCCAAAGAACTGTTTTCCTTTGAACAGGTGCATGAAAAGGGGTAGCTGGGCCTAACACAATAATGCAGCGACCAGAAATACCATTATGACGGTCAAATTGCCATTGGCAGGAGTTATCTCTATTGCTTTATGAGTGGTCCGGATCCAGAGATGGAATATTTATTTCCTCCAGTTGAAACGTGCGGTTTCTGTTCCCAGCCAGCATAAGAGGAAACAGGAAGCTCGCACGTCCCCGCTGTACAGACATACAAAGACCGTGTTCTGATGTTGTTGTTTCCAACCTAACCTTTAAAAAGAAGGACTTTGCCTGAAAGAGCCCAGGCCGCAAATCTTTGCATTACATTTTCATATCTGGCCAGCCAAGACTCCCTTCAGTACTTTTCTTTTGAAAACTGGTCTGGCTCTGCTTTCCATTTCTTCAGGTGACATTTAGAACAACTGTTATATATTTCAGCCCCAAAATATTTAAAAAAAAGAAAAGGCCTCTTTTTTAAATTTTGAGGGAGAATGCATCATCTGTCCCCCAGATCAGAAAGCCAGGATGGGCCTGTTGCGCACACAGTTTTCAGAGCCCACGGTTTTGTGGGTTTGGGGCTCGGTTTATTCCTGGGTTTTTGCATTTTTTTTGTTTCAGATCTGAGTCTCTTTTTTTCTTCCATTACATTTTCTAACACCTTATTCCTGATGACTGGGTTCTGTTCTCTTTCTTTGGGGGGGGGGGCAGGGGGTGGAGGAGAGGAGACTATATTTTCTAGCCAGGCTTCTGCAAGTTCTCAACCTGCAGCTTTGGGGGCAGATCTTCAGGTCAGCAGTGGGAATGGTTTTGGGGGCAGGTTCGGGAGGGCGCCCCCGCCCCAGTTTTCACCATATTCAGATGAGGGACCAGGTGTGGATGAGCAGCTGCCTCATGGAGAGGGCCGGCGTCTGGTGGTCTGGTCTGCAGAGCACGCGATGAGCGGCAAGGTCCACTTAGGTGAAAAGCCAAACCAGGTGATGAAAGG